CCATTAAATAAGGCTTTTTTGCTGTAGATGCGACACTTTAAAAATAAAACATTTGTGAGGAACTCTTTGGAATACTATATTATGTTTTTGGCTGAAGAAGTTAAATTATGAAAACTGAGGACTCCCCTTTTTGCAGACACTGGTGCTAGGGCTCTATTATATCCCTGCCACAAATTTAAAAAAATATATTAAAAGTGCCTAGAAATATTGCTTACTTTCAATGATTCACCCCAAGATGGTTTTAAGCAAGGCCTTTCTGGATCCGTGGTAACTGGGTCAATTTTCTTTTGGAATAGCAATAGACAACAATCCATGATCCTCATGATTAGATGAGGTGGCTTGGCAAGTTTTCGAACTGTTGCAATGTCTGCAGGTTTAATGGTCTGGGAAAAAAAGTTAATTTATTGACTAAGTAATATTTTATATAAATACTAAGACACCTTATTCCTCTACATTTATCTCATATTTCAGCTACCAAAAGGGACATTAGGAATTTGAAATATAGAAACACTAATTTTACCAACCATTAAAACAGCTATAGTCAAGATGATGCATAGCGCCTCTCAAATAAACAAATATTTGTCAAAAAGTAACACAATTTGGAAACAACGTAGCTTAGCAGATAAGTCATCCTTACATGGGAACTGTTTCAAATTAAGATAACATTCCCTAGTTTTGCACCATAAATTTACAGAAGAATTATGCAAGCTGCTTACACACTGCATTTTTTATATTGCACGTTTCATTTGCAGCACTAACCACTACTCACATTCAAAGCTGCTTCAGCTTCTTCTAAGGCTGGTCTAGCTGCCTCCAACTTTGCCTCGGCTACTATTTTCTCTGAATCAATTTCATCTACAATCTTCTGTGCTTTGTCTTTAACCCCTTGAACTTCATTCTTCACTTTAGCCGAAGCCTCAGCACTTACAGTCACTTCTGCCAGCACCTAATATAACATTTTTTAAAGTATACAGCATTATTTGCATAGCAAACATCTGAAATTTAGAATGGTAAAGGCCAAAGCTGTAGCATGAATGACATTTGGAACTGGTTTAGCCAGGACAGCCCCTAGTCTTCTTTGCTTCCCCATCCCCAAGCACACTGCTCCAGAAAGAGGAAGAACGTGGCAGTTTACACATTGCACTGAATATGCTGTCATTTTCAGTATGCTATCAGTAGGGTAAGTTTTAATGATTCCTGGATTGCATATGGATGATCCTACTGAAGAATCATGTATATGATTATGTAGCAGATGGAAAATAATGCCAACTTAAGCCTATAGTTCTTGACCACAATTAATTAATTAATGCATATCCTACTGTATAACACGTCAGTCATCTTATTATTTAAAGCAATCCCTAAAAAAAAAGTTTAAAATAGGAAAACGTTAATAAAACCACTCTCCTCTTTTCCTTCACTCAGGCTAGTGAAAAAATGGTTTGTAGGAATAAAGAAAATAAAGAAAACAGCAACTTCTTCATCAGTTAGTGACAGTGCAGATATCTGATTTTAAAAGTATTCACAACTACTGAGAGGGTCAGATGAACCAACAGACTGAACTCTTCCTATCCATTTTCAATGTATCTTCTAGTTGAGGATAAAAGTCTCTGCTGGAGTTAGCAGAGTCAGGAGGCAAAATCAAGATAAGGCAATGTGTCCAGATTCAAAGGCAGGAAGCCTCATGAACCGGAAAATGATACTGAAGCTACAAACAAAAAGGCAAAGATGTAAATCAAGGAAGCCAACCAAGGAAAAGAAGCAGGGGGGTCAGATCATAAAATCATATTATGAGGTTGGAAGGGACTCTATATCCCATCCAACTCAATCTGATATTTAATGCAGGAATCTGCTAAACTATTTCCAACAGGAGGCTCTTTAGCCTCCATTTGAAAACCTCCAGCAACAAGTCCACCAGTCCACTGCTCAACAGCAATTTCCCTCTGGAATTTCCTCCTAGTACAGGTAGTCCTTGGCTTATGTCCATTCATTCATTCATTCATTCATTCATTCATTCATTCATTCATTCATTCATTCAGTGACTGTTCAAAGTTATGGCAGCACTGAAAAAATGAACGTCTGACCAACCCTCAAAGTTCCAGTCACTGCAGCACCCATGCAGTCATGTGATCATGATCCGAGCACTTGGGTGCCCAGATCGCAATCATAATATTGCAGGGAGCTGTGATCATGTGATTTCCATTTGCAACTTTCCCTGCCAGCTTCCCACAAGCAAAGTTAATCAGGAAGCTGGCAGGGAAGGTCACAAGTTGCTCTGGTAAGTCCCCCTGGCTTTCCTGCACTTATGTAGCACTGCACCCTCCACCCCATGGCCTTCCTGCATTTGTGTGGCACTGTAGCACCCCCTCCCCTGGCCTCTCCCTATTTGTGCACAGCCTATGGCGGGCCTCCCAGGGCCTCCTGGACCCCGCAGTGGTATCCCTGCACTCCTTACCTGGGACTTCCACCATTTCCTGCTTAATGACCCTCGTGTCTTGTGGTTACAGGCAACTGGAACTGCTGGGATTGTTGTTGCTAAGCAATGCAGTCATATGATATCTCGCTTTATGACTGCATTACTTAGTGATGGCAATCCCTGTCCCAATTGCTGTTGTAACCCAAGGACTATTGTACTCAGACTGAATTAAAAAAAAAAAAATCAACCCATTGGCCCCTGTCCTGCTCTCAGTTTTAGCAAAGAACAGGCTCACCTCCTCTTGTATTTAACTATCTTTCATTGTTTACTATATTTCTGTCAGTCTTCACTTTGCAAGCTGAACATGCTCAGCACCTTTTACCTGGGCTTGGTTTTCAGATGCATTATTATTCTGATAGTTCTTCCCTAAATCTGCTTTAACTTCTACATGCCCCTTTTTAAGTGTTATAACCAGAACTGGACACAATATTCCATATGTGGCTTAATAGTACTGAGTACAATGGAGCTATTATAGTTCCCATGACTGGACACATTGCCTCTTTTTGAGCAGTTAGTGGTTCTGAGATCATAACTGTCAGCTCCTTCAAAATCCCAAACTGTAATTCACCCACCATGGAGATTTGCATTTTTTTTAGGTAGCAAGGTGGGCTCTTAATATACCTTTTTCAATCCTGGCCTGTGCTCCCCTCCTTTCCTCAGGCATGTTAAGAAGGGTTTCTTCTTCTGGGATAAGATAGATACAAAGAAGATGCAACACACTTCTTCCTTATTCATGCTTCCTGTTATTACTCTCCACCTTCCCCATGCACTACATCAACAGATGTCTTGAATCATATTTGGGCATTCTGGAAAAATGTTTTATTTATATCTTTCAGTCCTTGCCAATGGCACCTCATTCTCAGCTTTAGTCTTCTTGACTCCCTCCTTACTGACTTAAGCTACCAGTCTGTACATCTCCTTTGTTACCTTGCTTCCATTTCCTACACATCACTTGCTTGTCATGCTACCCACTTTTCATCAAACCCTGACTTTTTCATGGGGAACTGTAGAGTTGCTGTGATTTGGAGAAATTTGTTCAAATAATTGTGTAGAGCTGTATTGTTGTCTGGCTGAGGATGTATTAAATGTTTGCTGAGCACAGAGGCTGAATGCATAGTCAAAGGGGAAGGGCATATAGCAATGCAAGTCAGGGGACAAAAGTGTAATCAGAAAGCAGCTCCAGCTTTTCAGTATGAAGCTTTATGCATTCAAGATGAGACTGAGTGGACAGCGATGCTTCTTGGACTTTCACCTTTGAAAAAGAGTTGTCTATTACACAAGGTAATAAAGGCTGACTCCATCTGAAAGGTGGATTTGAAAAGAACCTAAAAAGCCAGCATCATTCAACACTGCCTAAAGTTGAAAAGAACAGAGGATTAAATATTGTAATAGCTGGCTCAAATAATTATTTTCTAAAATTCTTTAATAAAAGTCTTATCATACCTTTTTGATGAGAACAGGGACCATGTTATCACTGAGAGATTAATCACTTTCACTGACATTGTGAAACACCTAAGAACATAAGGTAATATGGGCCCCCACTGTACTGGCCTTTCAGAAAGCTGCAAGAACCATTTTATTCAACCAGTAACTGTGTGGCTAGACATCTGTTTGTTTTTATGTGTTTTAGATGTTTATGATCTTAACATAATGTATTATGTATGGTGCTAGATTTCGTGATTTTATTTTCAGTTTGACTGTTGTAAAGTGCCTTGAGTTTATGGAGTAGACCGTATACAATCAATTGCCATAAATACAAAAATAAATTTAACCTAGCTGTAGCAGTTATAATAGTCATTGTGGGAAGAGATCAAGGAAATATGACATAGGATCAATTTTCCAGTTTGTCTAGATTCTCAGGCTGTATGGTATGGCATAGTCAAAGCTATGGTTTTTCCAGTAGTAATGTATGGCTGTGAGAGCTGGACCATAAAGAAGGCTGAGCACTGAAGCAATGAGCATGAAACTGAGCAAACTCAGGGAGGCAGTGAAGGACAGGAAGGCCTGGCACGATATGGTTCATGGGGTCATGAAGAGTCGGACACGACTTAACAACTGAACAACAGTGACAAAATGGTATGAAAAGAAGAGTAACAACATGAGTAGATGGTGTTAGACTTTAATATACTTCCATCCACTTCAGATTCTAAAATGCATATTTTGGAGCAATGGGAAAAATTAGAGAATAACTATGGATTGATCCAGGAAGTGCCAACAGATGTATTTGCTTAAAAACACAGGCCAAACAAAAATCCAAGGTCAACCTTTTTATATTTAATGTTCTCATGTATGCTTATACTCACTTTGTCTGCTTTTACAGAAGCCAAAGCCAATTCCTTCTCTTTTACTGCCAGGTCCTGAGAGAGTTTAGCAACAGATTCACTAGCCTCCATCAGCTTAGAAAGACCTATAATTATGATAAAAATTCAGAAGGATGGTAAATCATTTATACTATTATTTCAATATTAAGGCAACATTATGAACATAAAAAGCCAACATCTTCCACTAAAAGATGGATAAGTGTCTGGCTCCTGGAGTAGATTCAGATCTCCAGAGGGCTCAGTTGGAAAAATATATCAATCTATATCTATTTTGCTATTCTTTTTCAGGGTAAGCAACATAGTGTAAAGTACAAAAAAGTTGTAAGAGTAAGAAAAACTGAAGTAAAGAAAATAAGCAGGAGATTAGAGAAAAATAACTATAGCTAAATGTATTTAATACAGATGCCATCAAATATATTACTCCACATCTTTCTATCCTTACAAAATGTTTCATAGTGTATCTTTTGTTCAAACTCTTCATCTCTTTTTGAGGAACTCCATTTAACCATAATTTGACCCCATCCGCTTAACCCATTCACTGTTTTTTACATCATGTTTTGTGATTCAATCTTAATTCATTCACTTCCTTTGATTGATTATGGACCATTAAGTCAGGGTTAACACTTAGCAACCACATAGATAGACTTTCTCCGACATGCTCTGTCCCTACCTGGCCCCTCAGGTTTTTCTATAGTGCATCCGTTGCTGCTGTAATTGAGTGCATTCACCTTGTATTAGTTGTCATCTTCTTCTCTATCTATTGATGTGGTCACTAAGATTTGACTCCAACTTGATGGCACATAATCAATCAACAATTATGCACAATTAAATGTTATTATATTGATTGATTGATCTATCAGATTTATATCCCACTTTTCAATAACAAGTATTTCCAGGATAGTGAATTATCACAATGGTAAGAATAATAATTAACCCCCCCCCCAATGTACTAAATAATCATAGGAACGAAACAGCTTATCTATTTGCAGTTTTAAATCAATTAGTAGAGAAGGCTAAGCTATGGTCCTATATACACTTTTGAAAACAAGTCCAACTGAGGCTCACTTCTGAATATATGATATATGATGATCTGTAAAAGGATTGAGAAAATAAAAGATATTTGTCTTGCATTATCTTACCTATGTTCATACGTTCAGCTTGTTCATTAATGCTGAACAGCTTATCAGCATAAACGTCTTTGTAGCCATTGATGAAAGAAAGATAAGATTTGGGGGTGACATGAGCTCTTCGTCGATATCTGTAATGTACAACAGTGATAACTCTTGAGATTTAACTGCCACTTAACTATTATAATAACCTCATGATACAACCTAGGGTATTAATTTAACTGTTATGTAAATGAGTTACAGTTATAAAAATTGATTTAAGAAGTTAAGTCGCTAAAATAATCATGTATTCCCTTCAAACCAGAATAATGGTGTTTACATAATTTTCTGTTACATCTCAGTTTATCAATTGTCACAGTGTGATGGGGGTGTTTTTGAACTGTAGGTGTATTTTGCTTTGCAAGGGTGGTAATTAACACAGAAAAACAAGGCAGTGGAGGCTTTTACACTTTTTACTATATACAATGACATCATTTACAGCAGGTATTTACAACAGGTATATACAATACAATCCCAGCATTCACCTGATGTCAGGTTTCCTCCTAAGTCTCCCTCCCAGAGACTATCCCTCTCTAGCTCTCCTGCTTTCTCCCTCTTTCACTCCATTTCCCTCTCCTGCTTCTGGGCTTATCGAAAGAGAGTGAAAAGAAAGGAATGGGCTGGATTTACTGTAGTGTGCTCAGCACGGCTTGACTTTCTCCTGAATCTGTTCAGCTTCTCTGTTGGGGGAAGCAACTCTTTCAGGGTCTTCTGCCCAGTCCTGCTCTAGAGACCAGGGCTTCACCAACAACTGACGATCTATTCCTTCCCATCTTGGGTCTTGCAGGAAGATGCTGTCTGCAGCCAGATGGCTCCTTCCATCTAGTCTTGGGTCTTGAGTGAAGATGTCATCTCTCTGGGTCTTCTCTTCTTCCAGGGAAGCCACTTGTGGTCCTCTATCTCCCTTCCCAACCAGGAACCAACAACTGTCATTTATGTTAGGTTATGTTAGGTTATGTGAGTGTACATGGCACACTCACATAACCTCACTCTCCAACTTTTCTCTCCAGCCACTCTGTTTTGCACAGACTTTTTCCTCATTTCTTCCTCTCCTCTTGTCTCCTTATCTCTCTCTCCAATTTTCAGTCAGACCTGCTAGCATCTCCCCCAGCAACTGAGGAGGTGAACATCCCCCCAGGGCTCTAGTCCCCAACACCTATATACCAGGCTGGACCAAGGGGACTGCTGTTCCTACATCTTGGCACCACAGCCCTGGCTAGCAGCCAAGTCAGCATATCAGCTCTTGTGACAGCACAACTGTCCTTCAAGGCCAGAATTGAGCTTTTCCCCATTTTTCACTCCATTTGCTGACTCATGTCAGCATACCATCAGCCATGCCAGACCACTAAAATGCATATGGCACATTGATACAGATCTATTAACTCAAACAATGGCTAAGTATCAGTTCAGAGAAATCAGAATTCCAATGGGAATTTGAATGAAGTCTTAAATAAATATTTATGGCATAATGCTCTATATGCATCCTTAAAATTAAATCCCATTAAGCTTAGTGGGACTTATATCCATTGACAACAGGATTTAACTCTCAGTTTCAAT